TATTTCTGTAGACAGATATCACGCAGTGTGTCAGCCTCTAACGTATAAATCTAAAATCAATGGCCGAGTTGTCTTCATCATGATTGCTGTCAGCTGGGGTGTTTCTGTGCTCGTTGCAATTGCTGTGGTGCAAACTAGATCAAACAATGATAAATGTCAGGACACATGCTTTATTGACGTTATCATTGCAAACATTGTTGGACCTTTATTTTCATTTTACCTTCCTGTTGTCATCATGCTTTGCATTTATATGAAGATATTTGCTGTTGCACAGAGACAAGCACGAAGCATCCAATCTACGACAAAGCCTGGAGCAACAGTCAGTAAGATGGAGAGAAAAGCAACCAAAACTCTGGCTGTTGTTTTAGGAGCTTTTCTGTTCTGCTGGGCTCCTGTCTTCTTTTGCATCACTTTTCAACCTTTAGAAAATAATTTAGCACCAATTCATATTATTGAAATTCTCGCTTGGCTTGCACTGTCAAACTCTACACTAAATCCATTTATTTATAGTTTCTTTTATAGCTGGTTCAGGTCGGCCTTCAAGATGATTATTTCTGGGAAAATCTTTAAAGAAAACTTTGTTAACTTGAATTTGCACTAAAGCTTAATCTAAAGAATGGACAGAGATGTAAAATTATATTCAGTGAATGTGGCTGGATTTTGTTCATAAAGCAATAGTTTGATTGGTTGAAGTCTTTTCCAGCATTTATTTAACTGGTTTAACCAACTGAAAGCAGCAGTTATTGTAGATCCTTTAAGAACTGGTCAGTTTTTTTTCCCCCAACCACATTCTTAGGGTTTACTTTTTGCACATAAAAGGTGAAGCTGAAAAACAGAGAGAAAAAAAAGAAACTCCCTAAACATCTCTTATATGGTAAATGGCATGTACTTATATAGCGCCTTTATTCAAGTCAAGAGACTTGACCAAAGCGCTTTACACTACATTGATTCACCCATTCACGCACACACTCACACATTGATAGAGTTAAATATAGAGTTTTGCAGATAAAATATCATTGTAACATTGCTGCAGACATATTACATGTTGAACATGTCTTAATTTTCTATAATAAAGAAAACAATGTTGTAACATATTTGAAACTAATAACACAATAAATGAACCCAGTTATTAAACACACATATCAGCTTCCTTTGTAGTAGGGCTTGGTAGAGAATACTCTTTGGAATTAAATGCTGTTTTTTTTATATTTTTTTTATTTTCCTTTAATATATTATAGAAAGTATATCTTATTTATGTATTTTATTTGGATTAATATTATTTTTAAAAAGAAGGTGAAACCTTGTATATGAGCCCTGCATATAAGCCTGTGGTGCACAGTCTATAGTTAGATTTGGCCTTCAAAATTTGATAACTTAAGTTAGATGATGTTGGAGGTTTTTCTTACATGGCTTCTAAAGATTAAATACGAATCAAAGGTACCGCCAAAATAGTTACAATTTTATATAACTTGTAAGCATTCTCCATTTTTATGCAATTATAGTATATTTAATGCCCTCTATCTATGAATGAATGAATGAATGAATGAATGAATGAATATGAATTTATTTCAGACAATCTGACAAACAACAATTAATGAATCAACCAAATACATACAAAAGAGACTAGCTTTTTTCAACCAAAACAAACAGCAATTTCCAAATGAACCAAATTCACCTCAACTTAAATAGAAACAATACTCTCCACCAAATAAACCTGATAATTGGTATGATCATGAAATCTGCCTTATGAACTGTTCTGATGGCCCTTTTTTGTGATGTGCATATCGGTCGCAGCGAGATTTTATAGGTGTTGCCAAATATTTTTACACAGTAACTCAAGTAAGGTAATACAAGTGCACAATAGAGAATATGAAGTCCAGCATAACGTTTAGGTTTGCTGAGAATAGCAACACTTCTGGATATTTTAGTTTAAATGTATTTTATATGAGGTCTCTGGCAAATCTTATTGTCTATCATTACTCCCAAGAACTTCATTTCCTTAACTCTCTACTGTCACATTATCTATCAGGATACATACATTTCAAACCATCAAAGTTGTAACTCAAAGTTGATATCAGCCATGAGCTGATCCAAATTATCACCTGTA